CCCCCTCCCCCCACATATCTCAGAAGTCTTCTCTTTTTTATTAAAGTTTGTGCCAAGTCAAAGTAAAACAGTCTTTTTTAAACAGAGGGAGTATATTAAATTGGTTTATATATATGTAGAGAGAGAGTATAAGTGAATTTACCTAACACCATGTCCAGGGCCACATTGAATCTTCTCCATCCAAAGGTTTGTGGTACCAGGGCCAATAGATATACAATCATCTCCAGTTTTGATACTTGTACCAGTGATAGTAACACCAGTTGAAGATTGGACATGAATGCCATCAGTATTGGGACTTAACTCTGGTGCTATTATTCTTACATTTTTAACCATCACATTCTTGCAGCTATTTATCACCAAGTGCATTAGCTGGCTATTGACCGATGTTAAGCCTTTAATCACAACATCATTTGCCCAGTTGAACGTTATAGACTGCATTAACACATATATTAAAGAATTGAATTGGATAGGCTACCAAATTAGGAGATATGGTAAATGAAAATTAATAAATAAATCTATATATAATATATATAAAGCTGGGCATAGAAAAAGTGAGGTGGCACCTCTCCTAAGCCAGCATTCTTATTTATCTATTTTCTCAGATTTTCACAATATTTTTCCTTTTTTCCCCTTCTTCTATTTAATTACCTGTAAGTATTTAAAGCCTAGGCAGAAAGTTTAAGTTACAGAATAAATTTACATTCACACCTTTTAGAGTTAAAGCCTTTTCCCCTAAATTCTATCGGTTACACAGTTACGCAAATATGATTTCTCCAAATTCTTTCAGTTACAACTTCAATCATCACTTCATTGCAGAATTTGAAAGGTCTCTTCATCCTTACATTTAACACCACTATATAAACAGAACCCCACTAATGCATTCACAATCTCACTTTTTCACATCCAAATACAAATCTTGCCCAATGTGGATTAGCATAAATCCCAGATGGAAACATGAATGAAGGCAAGAGACAATACTTTTACTATCTTTTCAATAACTCTTCGTCTCTTCCTTCACTCTTCAAGTCATCCAACACCGATCATATGGACTTTCTCAGAGGGACATCATATTATAGGGTGAAACAAGAAGAAGAAGAAGAAGAAGAAAGTAGGGGTCAGAATCGTTGTAAAAGTTTAGGCTTGAAATCACAGTAAACTTGAGATATTTTGCTGCATGAACTCTTATGTGAATGCAGTTTTTTTCTTTTGTCCTCTCCTTTTATAGGTGAACTGATGAGAGTGTTTTAGGGATTTTGCTTGAATTTAGGAAGAGAAAGTGGGGACTTATTCATATATGGAGTAATGGGAGGAAACGGAGGTACTAAAAATGACTAGAACAAGGAAGGAAATCAGAGATTGTATATCCAGAGTCTGCCTAAGTTGAGGATTAATTTGAAAAGGATGATTCATTTAGTCAATTTCATACACAGAATCGGCCAAATTGGCAGTTTTTACTTACTTTATTTATCCTTTTGTTTTTGCTACTTCCTTTTTTATTTTTATTTTTACTTTTAAAATAGGGAAAAATACATCAAAGATAACAATATACATAAGATAATACGTGAATATTTTAAGGAAATCATCTTTCTAATATCTATTTTAAAAGAAGATCGGCTAAAATGCAGTTCATCGAACATATTAAATACTACATTATTTTTTTTTTTTGGTCATTAAATACTACATTCTTACTTCATTAATATGTAGAATCACTCTTCATATGCATATATATAGTATATAATTTTATCTCTTCTATCTACTAAATTTGTATAATATTCATTTTTAAATTTAATAATAATTTAATTACAAGCGCGGAAAATTTTACTAGTACTTTGATTAATTCCGGCCCCTTTTTGACGAGGAACAAAGTTTAGCTAATAGTCTCTAAGCCGCCACGCATGCATAAAGCTACTACTCCCATATGCCATGCATTTAGGAACAATGTTTCCAAACAATGAAATAAATAATTTAATTCCATTAAGTTTTTAGTCAAGTTGGCCACTCTTCGATCTTAAGTAACAAGTTATCACTTTTATAAGTTGACATTACCTAACCACCAAATGTTTTGTGCATAAGATGAATGAGATGATCACTTCATTTTTAATAAAAGGTCTGGAGTTCAGTTCTGAGAATAGAGAAACTTTGGTAAGAAGTTCTTTCCCCTTTAATGGACCCAATGTGGCATGTATCTGGATTAGTCTTGCCAATAGGTTTCGAATTATCTAGATGTGGTAAAAAGAAACAAAAAAAAAAAAATCATCTATGAGATGATTGGATGTTTTGATCTCTCCAGACTATCCTAACAAGAGATTTTAGTTTCGAGCTTAAGGAATGGAAAAACTTTTTGGCAAGAAGTGTTTTTTTATCCTTAATTAGTGCATGAATGACAAATACAAATTAGTCGAACCAATAGAGACTAAGAATATCAAATAGTTAATAATTAAACTGAGAAAACATGATAAGTTGACAACATACCCTAGCTCCAACAGGACAATTCTTCCCTGACTTGCGGCAAGCCCAAAATCCAGCTCCATTTCCATCAAGAGTTCCTCCGACGACCGAAATCCGGCTAACCTGAATAAACAAAATCCAGTAGCCGGAGTTTCCAACGGCGCGATAATCAGCCGGAGCCACAAGAGTTCCATCGATTTTTACAGTGATTTTACTTTTGCATGGCCCTCTGAAAGTTGCTGCCTTAATCAAGTACTGTCCACGAGGAACGTAAATGGTGGCTGACTTCATTGAGCTGCATGCAGCAACCCATGCTTTCAGAAATGGCTGAGTTGCATCACTTTTGCCGTCTGATTTTGCTCCAAAGCTTAACACATTGTATGTTACTGATGCTGCATTTGATTTCAAGAAAATGAATCCAAAAGAAAAGAAGTAGACACAACACCAAGAAATTAAAAGCTTAGCCATGTTGTAGAGGGAGGGAGTGAGATTTTTCTTGTTTCTTTCTTTTGTTGGGGTTTTCTTTCTATGTTAGAGAGTAGGAAAAAAGGGCTTTTGAGAGTAGTATTTAAATTGTTTTTTGGAGTGGAGGGGTCTGACTTTTGTTGTTATATTAACTGTTTTCAGTTAATGGTCTATAATTGGCCAATGATTATAAGAATCAACGACGCTAACTATAACTTTTTTTTGTTTACTATATGGTGTTTCATACCCGCATTAGAGTCCAATTAAATACGGATTTGCGGCGAAAGATCCCGCATCGGATTTAAAGTGCTCCCTATAACAAAGATGACTCTAAACCAGGGTTCGAATTCGAAACTTATGTTTAACAATGAAGGAGCACTTAACACTCCACCACAACCCTAATTATAAGTAAAGCTAACTATAATTCAACGGAAAAGGGCTACTTTATTAGTTTCATGTTGTGATATGTACGGTAACCATGTGATAAGAGCATGTTTGCCTGTAGCATCTAATCATATGCATGTTCAAATATGCTTAAGCCGTCATTTTAAACTGGAATTAGAAAACGAATATTTCATACCAAGTCAAAGAAAAGAACGATTCTTCATCCTCAAAAAAAAGGTGCAAATGGATAATATTATAAATCAGACAACAAAAGAGACACAAAATTTATCGTGGTTCGATTAATTAACCTACATCCACAGGCGAAGATGAACAATTCATTATATAAAAGAGAGTTTAAAATATCGAGAGAACAACCTCACAAAGAGCACACACAAGGGTAGGCTAACACTTGTCGCAAAAATTCTCCCCTTAAACAAGACTCTCAAACCCCTTATGCCTACATTATAGATACATTTAAATGAGAAGGAAGGATCCTCCACTTTAGAAATCCAAAACTTTTTTCTCCAACTAGCCAAATATGGAGGAATTATATTTTTCTTTTTGTAAAAGGTAAAATCACTTATGGTAAATATGTTGAAGGAATAAAAAAATCACGACGAACACCTAACATGTTATTACATGCTAAAGCGTTCATGTCGCTTAGAGCATAACAGTTCTCCATGCAGGACAAAATATTACAAGTACTAGTCGAAATAGTTCAACGTCAAACTTATTTAGAGCATATATAAATTGCATTAAAGGAATATTGAGGAGGAAGTAAACCGGATGATTAATGTCTCATCAGATCATTCGTTCAATCCAAGTGATCTTTGGTTTAATTATTTTAGTGCTGATAAGTAAAACAAATTCGAAAATTTAGAATTTTACTTATAATTCAAGCATAATAAAGTCAGGATCTTAAACTTCAAGATGCAACAAGGCCTCATCATCAGCAAACTAGTAAGTTAAGTGCATGAATGTGAATCGTAATTTAGTAAAACAAATGATTTGGCTTAATAATTCTAATTTGTCAACGTTTATGTACGGCTTTGGTTAAATGAAATAAACAAAAAAGAAATAATAAACGGAGTATTGTCAACTATTAAAAAGAAATGAAAGTGCTTATTTTGCAAGGCAAATGTTTGAATGTTAGCTACCTGACACATGGGATCAATCAGTGGTGGAGCGTTTTCAGGCGAAATGATCGCCGTTATATTGTTATTCACGTTCCCTTTTTTTTTTAATAAAAAATTTTATAATTCGATGTTTGGTACTCGATTAGAAGTTTCGATTAAACCAAATTTGCACAGTATAAGGCAAAAGTAATTTTTATATTACTAAAACTAGAATCCAAAATCTCTTATCAAGGTCTAGGAATGTTATCCGTCCCACCACAAATCCTTAACATTCTTTCTTATTGCTAAACAAACAATTGACTCTAAATAGGAAGTTGGGATTTGTTACCATTAGAACTATTGATCTATTTTTCTTTTGTATTTTGTCTCTGCTAATAACTATGAACAGAACTGGAAGGAAAAAAATAAGGCAGATCAGGCAAGTTGGGATTGAACCACAAATTTTGTTAAGCAAATTCTTTACGTATACATGAATATTACTCCTCATATCTACTTTTTTTTTTTAATATTTAATTTGTGTTCTAGAAGAGTGCAAACAAATTTGGAGGATAGACATGTTCAGGCCTCCTTTAACATTGTCATTAAAATCAAACTCTCTCTCTCCTTCTTTAACTTTGAATATAAATATTTCTTTCATTATATATCAACAGTCGATCATTGACCGATAGCTTAAAATAGTTAGCTAATCGTTAGTAGCATAAAATGCAATTTTAATTTCCTCTAGTTTACTCATTGGTGCTCTAATTAATTTTTCCCTTTTTACAATTTTTTTTAACATCCCATCAAGATTACATTATGTAAAGCCCCGAATATTATTAGGTATTTTGCACTTATTTGATGCCTAGTTACATGCCAAAGGGATGATATAATATGGGAAAACTGTTTTTTGTTCCAATGTGTTGATGTTTATATTATTATGAGGAAATGATTTGGAGTTTGAAATGGAAAGAGGCTCCCAGACCCTTCCCTGGAATGGAAAGTTGATATTTGTCACGATCCAAATTCCACCTAGTCGTGTTGACACCTAACCTAACCCGCTAAGTAAGCCAAACAATTGTTATACAATTCCACTGAAGACCATAAATTGATGATAGGCTATAATTACGTATTTTAGTCGCTTATTACACTCAAATTTACTGCACTTTTGTTGAGTTTGTGTTTTAATAGTTAGTGTTTTGCACTAATTGTGTGTTTTATGCCTTGTAGGAGTGATTCCGAGCTATATAGATGTTATGGAATAAATTCAAGTGATTTGGAGCTTTGAAGTCTGAGTAAAAACTCAAGGAATTAAGCGGGATCGTATTCGGGGATCAACAGATGATAGAGCAACAAAACGAAGAATCGAGTAGGCATATTGCGCACTGTCTAGTAAAATGCACATAACTTTTTGCTCAGAACTCCATTTGGGCTCCACAATATATGGTTGGAAAGCTAACTCAAAGGGCTACAACTCCAAATTTGTAAGGCCCCGTGAAAACTTTTACTTAAAAACCGAGAGCTCGTAGTGCCAAATTAGGAATACGTGCCCTTTGGACTGATCTATGCATTAAAAAGTCAAGGAATAATGTTTTCCAGAAAAGTGCGATTCTGTAGTCGAGAATACGGTCGCATAACAGCTATGCGGACCACATAGTCACCGCAGAATGAAACAGTGTGTTGGTCAATTTGAGGTCAACTATGCGGTCAATTATGCGATCACATAATCGATATGCGGGCCGCATAGTCGTCGCATAATCCACTTGGGATTTTGTAAGGGGTAGTTCTGCGGTGCATTATGCGACCGCAGAGCGGGTATGCGGACCGCATTTCTGTCGCATACCCAAACAGTGTCTTCAGGTTTTGGGGAGCATTTTGCGGTCCATTCTGTGGGCCGCATGTCAACTTTGCGATCGCAAATGCGATCGCAGATCTGAGACGGACTTCTATTTTCTAATTTTTAAAACCCGACTCCATCCCATTAAAAACACCCCTTCTTTCACTGGAAGAAAAAACAAAGGCAGATCAGGCAAGTTGGGATTGAACCACAAATTTTGTCAAGCAAATTCTTTACGTATACATGAATATTACTCCTCATATCTACTTTCTTTTTTTTAATATTTAATTTGTGTTCTAGAAGAGTGCAAACAAATTAAATTTGGAGGATAGATATGTTCAGGCCTCCTTTAACATTGTCATAAAAATCAAACTCTCCCTCTCCTTCTTTAACTTTGAATATAGACATGTCTCCCATTATATATCAACAGTCGATCATTGACCGATAGCTTAAAATAGTTAGCTAATAGTTAGTAGCATAAAATGCAATTCTAATTTCCTCTAGTTTACTCATTGGTGCTCTAATTAATTTTTCCCTTTTTACAATTTTACTTTCCATCCCATCAAGATTACATTATGTAAAGCCCCGAATATTATTAGGTATTTTGCACTTATTTGATGCCTAGTTACATGCCAAAGGGATGATATAATATGGGAAAACTGATTTTTGTTCCAATGTGTTGATGTGTATATTATTATGAGGAAATGATTTGGAGTTTGAAATGGAAAGAGGCTCCCAGACCCTTCCCTGGAAAGTTGATATTTGCCACGATCCAAATTCCACCTAGTCGTGATGACACCTAACCTAATCCGCTAAGTAAGCCAAACAATTGTTACACAATTCCACTGAAGACCATAAGTAATAAATAAATAAAATAGCTGAGTTTTCATACAATATCCCAAGAATTGGTAGTACAAGTCATGAGCCACTAAGATTTAGATTTACAAATCTGGTACGAAAGTAAATAGAACATCTGTTGAAATATACATAACACAATAAGAATCCAAAACTACCAAGGACAAGTGGTAACTATATCCAGAAAATAGGTACATCTTCAATACTAGCTCCCGTCATCCACAACACCTCAGCTCCAAGATTTGCACGCAAGATGCAGAAGTGTAGCATGAGTACAACCGACCCCATGTACTCAGCAAGTATCATAACAAACCTCAGTGAGGTAATAGTGGCAATAATTATTAATAATACTCGCTAATGACATGTATAATTCCTAAAAATTAAGAAGTACATGGCAATGGTGCCATATAATCATATAACATAGATAAGACCACATCAGTGCACAATGAGATAATATGCGAAATTCTGAATTAGTTAACAATCCAGCATATAAAGAAGATATGCGTCCAATATCATTAAATCATCGAACTTGCATATAGAGAAGATATGCGTGAAATACCAGATAATCCTTCATTAGATGCATATAGACACTACAAAAAATAGAATTAGCTATGAACGTCATTGTTAATCTGTCGCTAAATCGCCCGTAGCTAGCAGAATTTCTTGATAATCTGTCGCTAAATGAGATTAGCGACAGATTTTCTGTTTAGCTACATAATTTGTCCGTCGCTAAAACAAGCTTTTTTAGTAGTAAGAGAAGCTATGCATGATTAAACAAGGCAGTTCTTACGGATTCACATGTAGAGAAGATATGTACCGTGTCGCATCTCATCAAGTAAGGTAACATATAGAGAGATATGCATAAATGCATGTATATAATCCGAAGCTAGGAAATAG